ACTACCTGTTTGCGTAACTCAGTAGGGAGATTCATTTTTTCAATCGTATTAGTAGTGATCCCCGTAAGTAGAGAGCACTGTACCGAGATCGTTTACCGGAGCAGACTTTGAAACATGCAGCGGCGCAACAGGCTCGATGGTAGGGACATTTGGACAAGTCTCGACAGAGAACTTTGTATGATGGGTATAGACACGGAGAGAGGGTGGTGGCAGGGATAGACCGACTGGTGGTGAATCCAGTAGTGCTGAAGGTGCACTAAAAACAGTGGCCGGAGTAGGAAAAATGTTCGCTGAAGTTAGAAAAGGAGCAGTGTCCAAAAAATTAAGCTCCTCCTCACTTGAGGCAGTGTTAGGAAAGGAGGAGACATTTTAAAAAATGGAGACGTGATTAACATAGGTTTTATTGGTAGTAGGATCAAACATCGATATGCTTTTTGAGCGGTGGAATAGCCGAGGAAAATACATTTAATTGAGCGGGGGTTAAGTTTACTATCTGTCGGAGCTGTGTTTCTAACAAAGGCCGTGTACCCAATAATTTTGGGATCTAATGAGAAGAACCAGTTGGTAGGAAAACATGACATCAAGGCAGATAATGGAGTTCGAAAGAAGCATTTTTATGGGAATTCTATTGAAGATATAGGTAGCAATAAGGATTGGGTGTCATTCCAAAAGCACTAAGGAATATTAGTTTGAAACATAATGGAACAAACAACTTTGAGAAATTCTATTTTTTCTCACGGTCACCTCGTTTTGTTGAGGGGTATTCGTATTGAAATTATGATGGAGAATGACATTACTAACCAGGAATTCTTCTAATATAAATTAAAGTACTCATGCCATTGTCGGTCCGAAGGATTTGAATAATACTTTTGAATTAGGTTAGATTAAAGGGGTGAACATTTTTAAATGTGACAGCAGTTTCAAATTTATCTTTTAATACATAGACCCAGGACATCCGAGTATGGTGATTAATCAGACTATTGGAGTAAGGAAACACCATTTATTGGTATTACTTGAACTTCAATTGGGTCCCCATAAATCACTATAAGTGAAAAAGAGTGAGGAAGAAGTGTAAGGATGAGGTGAATATCATACATGTTGATGTTTAGCTAATTGACAAATTTTATATTTAAAAATTGATGAAATTTTTATCAAGAAACATCAACGGTTTCAATTATTTGAAATAGTGAAATCTAGAATGACCCAAACAACTATGTAAAAGTATAATTAAACAGCGGAAGATTTAGCCGAAGACTTATTTGCTGGTTTTCTGTGGAGCTTCCAATACTTGTAACGGGTAGAGTTTGTGACAAAAATCACATGTGGAGTAATTGCCTCAAGATGGCGTGGCAGAGTATGGAGTATTGTTGGAGACCACGGTTGAATGTTTGGCTGAAGTTGTTGAATTGCCGAGCATGAGAAGTCATTGGATTTCTTCTCGATGAATTCTTTTTACGTTGAAGGAAGAGGGTTACGACCAAATATATGACTATAGACTTCATCAAGATCCTTGTTTAGGCTAGCCAACAATTGGAACACTATCTTTTTCTAAAATCTCATGGAAGAGGGGAAGGTTAGCAAGAAAGTCCCAAGTGTAGTCAATCATTTATAAAACAACCAAGTCATTGTAATATTGGGTCACCGTCTTCGATCCCCGTTTAGCCTCACACACCTTATTAGAAACTTCATAGAGTTTTCCAGAATTACCAAAGTTTGAGTAGGTATTGCAAACGATAGTCTAGAGGTCACTTGAAGATGGAAGAAACAGGTAAGAAAGACAAATAGATGCCTATATGGAATTAATTAGCCATGCAATAATCCCGGAGTTCTCTTCTCATGTAACATATGTTGGGTCATTCTTTGGAGGTTCTCGAATCGTGTTCGTGAGGTGGCCGAATTTACCCAACTTTTGACGAACAACGAAACAACTTGAGACCACCGGAGGAAATTGGAAACATTAAGTTTTGAGTGGTAATTAGGAAATTTATATGGTGTTCAGGTCCTTCGGTCTGCGAAGGGATCGAGATAGATGTCGAACATCCGATGAAATCAAAAAGAGTGTCTTGCAGAAGCTCAGAGGTGGAGGAATCAACCATGGCACCAATGGAGCCAAAGGAGAGGATTAGCCGCCGAGGAATGGAAGGAGTTGTTCCTTGCATCTAACAACCTGTAGGGAAGATTTCAGAGTGACGGAAGGAGTTCTAGCTGAAGGAGGGATTACAACAGGGAATTCCGGTGGCAAGGAGTGCTGGCCTTGAAAAACAAATATAAGGATGATTTCTGTTGCAGGAAGATGATTTGGCCAAACAGGTGGGGAAAATTTTTGTTTCCAGACTCCTAACGTAGCTTTGCGTGCGGGACTCCCAGTAATATATAGTAATATATCGCCATGTGTGTTATATCGGGCCCACTTAAAAAATATTAAAGTGAAACCGCAATAACCTCCTTGTGTTTCCCTTCAATAACCCATAAATAACACCGCAAATGTTATTTTTGAGTTATTTCAAGGTCATTGAATTGAAATATATGGTTTCTCTTCAATAATCCAGAAATAACCCATAAATAACTTGTAAATAACCTCCGCTTCGGGTTCATTGAAGTGGAACCGCGGAGGTTGTTTCTATGTTATTGAAGTAGAATATATTAGTTTTTCAATAACCCAGAAATGACATCCGCGGTTTCACTTCAATAACCCTGAAATAACCTTCGCGACGTAGCAAAGGTGACGACATATCATTGGAGTCTGCAAGTAGAGCTACGTTAGGAGTCTAGATAGAAAATTTTTTCAACTGGTGAAGGTTTTGGTGGCTAGGATAAGATATCTTGCTCTGATACCATATAGGTTTGGAGAATTAAGCATAATGCTTTTATTGATATAAAATATTAGCTTAAATACAACTTACTTGAATCATAAACTTAGGAATGAAATAATACTCATATCTCCAAGATTACAAAAAATCAATTTAAATAAACTAAAAGATAAACTTTTATGATTAACGAGAAATAAAAGGAAATACATAAATATAAAATAATAAGAAATAAATAAAATCCTAATATAAACAAGAAATAAATGAAATCTTAATATAACTTTTTACAAGACACATACCCAAACAGTTGAATCTTTACATGCATATCACTCAAATCGGTAATATTACATCAATAATACCACTATCACCACATGCCCATATCAAGCCATTTAAGAACAATTTGAGGCTTTGGATGGGCACATGAATGGTCATATAGATTCCAAATTCGACAAGCTTATAGTCAAATCGTTCATCTCGTCGAGCTGAATCCAGCAAGCTCAAGATCACTTGATTTTGACATCATTAAGGCACTCAAATGCTCATTAAACATCAACCGATAAAAGAGATTGCTCTAGGTCATTCGATGGAGTGGTCCGGATTCATGTGGTATTTATAGAGGATGCCACTCACAAAATCTATAAATTGACTCACTCTTTTCATGAAAAGGGGACTTGGGATCTAGACTCGGAAGAGAAACTTGAAGGGGCTCCACGGTCTTGAGAGTTTATAAGCTCCAGCACCGTCAGGCCGTCGCTGACCATCCACAACCACCACTACCCGGTCGCAGTGCAACTGTCAAGTGGCCTCCACTACTGAATCACCATCATTGCTTCCTTGCTACTGTTGATCGGTCGCCACCGTCAAACCCTAGTCGCCACTTCCATTCCATCCCCGACCGGCTGCAAAACAGGAGCCGCTTGGATGCCGCCGCCATTGTCAGACCACCCTTCTCGGCAATTGTTGCTCGACCTCTGCGATCGCCAGACCACTATTGCTCGACATCCGCTGTGGAGCCGCCTCCATTGTTCGGCCACCTCCGTTGAGTCGCTGCCACTATTGGTTCATCGCTGCTCGGCCATCGCCTTCAAGCCGCCGATACTTCTAGACCACCGGTGTCGCTATCTAGCCACCGCCATTTGGCCGCCACTATCGAAGTCACCGAAAACAGATTTTCTGGCTATTGACCCCTATCGTTGGTTTTTCTTCACAGCAGTCGGGTCGCCATCATCTCTTCAGTATTTTTTGACATTTCCCAAACGAAAGTCTCATCTCACTCATTAATATTGCTTCGAACTATTGCGTCACTATAGTGAAATTATTTCAACTTCGCTAGACCTAGTGTTTTTTTCTATTTGGGTATTCCATATAAAAACACCTTTTGTCTTTTCTATCAATTTGTCTTTTACCTTTATGTGTGTTGGACCTTAGTGCAAAACTAAAATATTAATATATCACTCTACTGTCACGAATTTACGATCACACAAAAGAAATATTTATCTTTTTTTGTTTTTTTCCTGTTAATATGATGGGCTCCATTCACTTGTTCAACATAGCTCTGTGAAATAGGATAATTTACTTGGGTTTTGCTCAAATCTCTTTGAACTTGTGTTAAAACAAGTCAAGGAGCAGCTGTTGGAGAGAATTTGTACAGCATCACGTCTAAAATTTGTTTTCTTGTGGTAGAAATCCAAACTAATTACATATTGTTTGCCAATTATGTTCATTGTACTTTTGAATGCTCAGTAGCATAGGTTTTGGAAATGTTACATTATTTTCCTACTAATATTTGTTAGAAATTTCAACTTCACACCTAACTAGTTTAAAAGGTTTGAGCTGTTTGAGCTTAGCTGTGTGTAAATTTTTTTTTTTTCTTTTTTGAAATTGAAAGAGAGAAGTTATATTGGGTTTTTGAAAGGTATGCAAACCAGCCTCAATTTATTTTTATTTGTTCTTTCCCATGCAATTTAGTCAGCAGATGGCAATTAATTCTTTGTAGAAAGATTGTCATGTTGTAGAATAATTGATTTTCACAATGATGTGATGTTTCTTCGAAAGGTATGCATTTGTGTCTGGTAATTGTTTGGTATATATTATCATAATTGTCGTGTTGGTTTTGGCGCTTATTTTAGTACATATTTGTCATGTGCTGCACAAATTTGCATTATTAGCTTTTAAGACATTTTTCTATTGCAGGTAGTTTCTTTTCTGAAACTTTTTGGCTTTGATGATATAACCATAGGGAGAATTTTATGTCGATGCCCGGAGATATTTGCTGCTAATGTGGATGACACTTTGCAGAGGAAAGTTAACATTCTGACTGATTTTGGTATTTCTAGAAAATTTCTTCCTCGTGTTATTAGAAAATACCCTGAACTTCTTCTGTTGGATGTAAACACCAGCTTACTTCCAAGGTATAACATTCAAACCGTATGATTATGCTTTATTAACATTATTTTTCATTTTCATAGGAGGTGAGCTCAAAGCTAAAAATGCCACCCTCTGCTTTCACCATTTCACTCACAAATACAGTGGTTTTTTTAAGATCGATGCATCCACAGCTTTTGACGGCCGAATATAAAATTTTAATCCTTTGCTTTTATTAATCTAATTGTGTTGACATTGGTTCCGAACAAATGGGCCTGAGTAGATGTAAGGTTGATAATTGGCCAGAGCTCAAAATTTGTACAATAATTGTTCATGTTTTAACTGATTTAAAATTGATTGCAATAATAGTTCAATTGAATAGAAAAAATTCAGTTCAACTAGAATTCGGCTTGATATATATATATTGAAAAAAAATGGCCGGAGGTTATTATACGAGCCCCGGTCATCGCTCGTATTCTCACGCGTATATAATTAGAGCAACACACCCTACACTCGGGGGGAATTGAACCCCAAACTCGAGGGGACTTACAACTAACAAGCAGATGTCCGACCAACTGAACTGAGT